GTGTGCCCTGCCACAGCTCCAATTATACCAAGCCTCTGTTCAAAACCCTTCCATGATTTATCACTGCCACATTATTACATGTGACATGGCCCTCCATGAGTCACTCTATCTGACATTTCTAACTTGATTTCCTAATTTTTTCATGCTTTCGATTCCATCTGAACTCTTTGACATTGCTGAGTACACCAGCATTCACCCCAACTCCATGCCTCTGCTGATGCTTGTTTCTTCACCAAAAATCCTCCTTCCCTCTCGTATTTCAAGGACATAGACTTTCTTGATCCTCCTGTTTCGAGGTACTCTCTTTCTCTTTGATTCTTTATATTATCTAGCTCACACTCCTCATATGACAATGAAGATCTGCCCTGTATTATAACTGTATATGGTCATTTCCTCTATGAACTTTAATCTTCTTGGTGTATTTTCATATCTTACACACCATCTTATACATAACGGATGCTCAGTACACACTTATTTAAAAAGAGTAAGTCGGTCCTCTGGACTTCTAAGTATCTCCTCATTCAATACTTGGTATTCGTGACTATTGACAAAATTCAACTTAATGAAAAGGCACCAGTGAAAATTAAAAAATGTATAGAGAGGTAGCACATCAATAACCTGCATTTTACTATTTTCTTATGCTTCCAAATTGTGTTCTTACGAGATTAGGAATTACGTCCATAGCTTCACTCTTGGATTCACTGTTTGACCTTCACACTTCAATCCATTTTCTTCCAGAACCCAAATCTATCACCTATCCTGCATAGGTGACTCCGTCCACTAAATTGGCACTGAACAATAATGGTCTGTCAGTCATCTCACCTTTTTTTTTCATCATACATTCAAAAGAAAATTCTGAGTCCACTGGACTTGGAAAACTCTTCATCTTCAGAATAGTAAGGCTTTTATGGAATAAACAAGTTATTTTTCACAAAGGTATCTTTTGGTATCTGTCTTTACTCTTCCTTGTTTATTGACATAAACCACTTAAAAGAATAAATTAGGGTATTCAACGGAGGGGGGGTTTACTTTCAAAATATTATTATGAAGGGAGGACTTTTACTTATATACCTCTATCTTACAAGCTCAGGCCTCACCCAAAGCAATCCTATGCACCTCAAAGAAAGCTCAGGAACATCTGTGACAACATACTTCTCATCCATTTGACCCATTTCTTTCCTTGATAAATATAAAATCTCTTAACCTCAGACTTAATTAACTCCCTTAATAAGAAGAATATAGAATCCAAATTCCATACATACTCATTGCCTAAAAAATTTTTAGTGACTTTGCACTCAGGAGATGCATGTGGTATGATGAAAACCCAACCAATTTTTTTTTAGTTGCCATAGCTAACCAGACATTCATTCATGTTTCTTAGTGTACTCTCCATACCAGTCGAGGATCACTGCTCTTCTAAAAAACAAAACAAACCAAACATGCTTTTTCCTTATCTAGGTAAAGGATAAGTGATTTATTATCACCACTCATTTTTCCAATAGTAGCAAAAGAAAGTATGATCTATGATCTGTGATCTAAGATCTCTTTCTCCCAGTCCCCTCTGGGCTTGAGAGCAACCAATTGTAAAACAAGCAATGCAATCTAAGACCATGGCATGGAGGGAGGAACACAGGCTGGCTGACAGCTAAATTAAATCTGCAGCTTCTGCTTCTTCCCTACTATGCTTTTACCTATGGCGCTAAACATCTCAAACACGGATGAGATGGGAAAGCTTGAGATAATACATTTACTAACTATTAAGAGAAAAATCACTCCCATGGGAAAAATGTCTCTTGGAGACAGCATTAGGATAGAAAAGACTGTTTCCCTTGACCACGCAGGCCCAGAGGTCAGTGAAATGGCAAGGTCCTGAACTCTGAGATCTCATACTGCTGCCTTCCAATTACTCTTCTCACTCTCAAGTAGATTTGCACATCAGTTCTTTACATAATTTTTTTTTATTTTTGGAGCATTTACTAGGAATTATAATAGCCCTTTTCAGAATGCATTCTCTCTCTCTTGACATGAAAAGGGTTAAATTAAGTAAATGGGGCTGATTTAGACACCTATAGCTCTCTGAACTACAGAAAGAGGGATTCTTGACCTTGATTTGTAAAATGAGGTGTCTCAGTATATGAGCCTTGATGTCCTGTTTAGTTTTAGAATGCAGGAGCCCATTAACCTGAGTACCTTTCCATCTTCACACAGAAACCCAGATGGACTTTTAATAAGAAATGTCCCAAATGTCCTTCTAAGAAAGATATGAGAATCTCTGTTTCTCTGTCTCTCTGTCTCGTCTCTCTCTCTCACACACACACACACACGTGCACATGCACACATACAGACGCACACAGAGACCAGGGTTGTGGTTGTTGTTGTTGTTTAGCAAGAAAATTGAACTAAAACTTAATCTATGAAGAATTTCCCTTCTTTTGAGTCTCCCTCTCAGGCTAAGACAGTCCCAGAGGCTGCACTATTTCAAGCATGGCACAGTGGAGAGGTGCTTACTGGAAGACTCTCTCCATTGTAACCCAAGGGTGGCTCCTTCAGCCGAGCCTGTTACATCCTGCCCATGTTCTCCTCCCTTCCGGGCCCCTGCCTGTTCACTAACAGCTTCCCAAAATCTACCTCTGCTCAGAGGGAAAGAATTGGAAATTTGTGGAACAGGGAGTAGAGAAAGAACGGTCTTCTTAGATTGTTTTGGAGTTATCGGCCCACAGAAGTTACTAACAAATTAAACTTAAAAATTACTTGAAGTTAGAGAATTGGGTTCTAGTTTCAAAGTGATTTTCACTCTCATGGGAGTTACATGCTTCCTTATTCTTCATCTGTCCAATTTTTAAATATTTTTTGTGCGATAATAGATCACTGTTTCTGTATTAATGGTTTATAACGAACATTATCTTAAGATGAATCCTAAAACGCTGCAACTTTTGTATTAAATTTCCGGATTCTCAGGGCCATGCGGTCCCAGACATTTTGTCTAGTCAGATAGAGAGCTGCGTTTTTACGGAGGACAAGATAGTAAAATGTAACCCTACATAGCAAAGAAAGCCATTTTTAAGCAACAGGATGAAAATCAAGCTATAAAATTACTCATAATATACACATTAGTAGAAAGATATAGAATTCACCACAGCAATATACGAAAAGATGCAGGAAGTTGGAGAAATTCAGCCATATTTTTTAGAGATACGCTCTTATACATGTTAGCAGCATTCCAAGAGAAAAGAGACAACTTGGACACCCAACTATACACATTTACCCAAAGTTTTGAAACTGCAAACCCACGGAAAGGTGTTTTCTCTCACCATAAGGCTGCTATACGCTTACATACGACATGATTCTTTTGCCCCCATAAAAGGAAGAATTCATACTGGTATCTCCTTTTTTTTTTTTAATTTTTTTCATACTGGTATCTCCTAAAGCAAACCATTTACATAGTTTTTCCCTTCCTGAGAAATAGTCATTACTCTCCACGTTGCAGCAACTTCATACTTTTCTTACAGACACCTCTAGACCACCTTCCCTATGCACCCCCTCCAACTTAGACACAAAAGCAGATCCCAGCCTGCTTATAAATATAGGTGTGAAAAAGCTCGTGAACAAACACAAAGTCAGATATGATATGACTGCCAGACCACGTCTCTAGTGATTCAGACTGGCCAACACGGGATCACATAGACACAAGATCATCTTTAAAGTCACCTCCATTTTTTTTTTTTTTAACCGTTTGGTAACATTTTAAGCTACCTTTCCATGGTAAAGCAAAACAAGAAACTCAAGTTTCTCCACTGAGGACAAGCAAGCCTGCTTGAACGTTTTAAAGGAAAATAGGCACTTCCTTTTCCTTCTGCAGATAACTCGATATTTCCCCTGCTATATTTACACAGTTCAGGTGTCTAGACAATAGCATGGTCAATATGACAGGGCAGGCCCCACTCTGGTGCCCTTTGCGCGACTCTTCCTTTTGCCGTGTGCACCCAAGTCCTATGCACTTTGTTTTTGATTTTTAAGGAGCTCAGGTTGAGCACTCCAGTCTACTTTTCCAAGCATTCGCCTGCAAGCATTTTCATCCGAAACACTGAACTCACGTTCACCACCCGCGCGCACCCCCCCCCCCAATCTGATTAGTGTCAACACAGCTGCCCTATTCTGAGGAATGTAAACTAATATTGTTGTTAGACCTCCCTCAACCTTAGGAAACTTCCTCAAAGCCTTGCAGTCTCTTCAGGAGTTTTGTTTCCGTATCCCTCTGCCCAGTGATTTAAATCCCTGAGACAAATTTGAGGAGCGATCTGAGAGGCAAACCATCAGTTCCTTACATAAAATCTTATACGCTATGATACACATTGCAATGCACACATGTATAAATATTTAATAATCCATCACCCCCAAATAATTTTGTCATTACACAGTGAAAGTCTTAAGTCAATCACCAGACAACAGGGACATGAATGAAGTCCCCTGAGGATTTAGGTGGGTCTCTGGATTGATAGAATTCAAAATGAAGATGGCTTTAAAAAAAAAAATCTCACCTGGATTATTTTGAAAAAGCTTCATTTGCTTTTAGGATGAAGTCTGGAGATAGAACTGAGAACTTAACTGAGTTAAGACAGTCAACTAATTTGTCTTACTGGTACATGAATACCCAACAGAGAAGTTATTTCCATGTATCTAGCAGAATGTGAGCTGATCTCCCAGTCTGTTCTTACAAAAAGTGATTTTACAAACTCCTGAATATTGGGTTTCTTCAAATACATAATGTCACCCAGAAATTTTTCTTCTCCCTCTTCTCCTATTAATTTCATCTCCTACTTAAAGGAAAAAAAATCTTACAGTCACCACAGAAAACATTAACCAAGAAAAGGAGATTCCTATACACAATTTGCAAAAACATTACATTGGGTGACCAAGAACCACAAATATGTAAGCTTTTATTTAAAAAATAAAACTGAATAAGCATCTCTAAATGGAGGGCTAAAATCTAAAATCCTTACCTCACTAAATTGAGTCTGGGCATTGTTTTCCAGGTACAACATGTTAGCAGTAAGATTGATCAATGCCGCTGTCCTCTCTTCTGGCTCCAGGATTTTCCAACCCCCCCACCCCCTCTGAGACCCTGACAATAGGAATCTACTAAGAAGATAACAGAACTCAAGTCCCTCTCTCTCTTTCTCTCTCTGTACATAATTTTAGGTTCCCTAATATATACCCAACTATAGGCATGAGGGGGCGGGACTCTTCTCTTTACCTGTCCAATCCATCAACTTCCACCTGGAGTCCTCCACTCCAATGGAGTGAGGCCTCTCCCATCTCATTAAGTAGTTAGAATTCCTTATCACCAATCTTTAAAAGAAAAAGAAAGAAAGAAAAAAAAAAAGCAGGAGAGAGACAGGTAAAACTTTCCCTTGTCTTTCATAAGAAAGTGCTCTCTCTTAAAAACAAAACAAAATCTCCCCAAACAAACCACAGACCGTACCACCACCAGGACTTAGAGAAGGCATTTCAGAAGGTTATTTTACCCTTTGCAGTTGAAAAGTAAAACTTCAGGGAAAGCTTTTGGAAGGCTTTTATTTTATTTTTTTTTAAACTAGATGTCAAGTTTTAAGAATGACTACCTAAAGTTAGTAATTTCTAACTAATTCCTAAAAACTCAAATCCATTACTAAATACTCAAATCCATGGTTATATTTTCTCAGTATAAAAATTAAAATCCACTGCATGATAGCTAAAAAGTTTTCAATTTATTCTCCACAGAGGAATGCCAGTGGTTTAACACAAAGTTATGCCAACACAAGCCATTTAGTTTTTTTTCAGAACATAATCAAAGTACAATTTAAACCATTGGTCCCGTTAACTTGTAAAAACAAACAAACATCCACATTATGTACAGGAAATAGAAATCCTGGGAAAAGTGCCCATTTTTTTAAGTCCATTTAAAAAAAAAAAAAGCACCACTTCTTTCTATCATTAGTTCTTAGGACTAGGAATCGATACAAGTTTATCTATTTAAATATTTTCTTTACTTATTGTTTCTTAATTAATGCTCAAAGGTAATATCTTTTACTATAAACAGTTAATAAAGTATAAATAGAATAAATCTTAAAGTATGAGAAATCAGTTAGCCTTTGCCTTAAAATATATATATACATAGATACAGAAGAACATTATTATAGAACCTGGCCCTGGTTACCATAATTTAGTGAAGATGAGAGGCACCCTGATGGTTATTGTTAGATTCACTAAAATATTTTTGTTACTGCTGAGTATTCCATGTAATTTGGTCAGAACTATGTCAAAACATGACTCCTCACCTCCACCCCCGCTTAGAAAGCTAAGTCCCTCTGTCCTGCCTCAAGGTACCACTAGCCAAGACAGCTAGAAATAAATCCTTAGATATTTTTTTTCTAAAATTTAAAAGATAAGAAGATAAGAAAATCAGAAGCCAGGCTAGGTTAGTATATGAACTTTAGAAACAGAGTTTATAAATGTATTCATGACCTTAGATTTGCCTCCTTTTTACTTCTATTTTTGCATCCATTAAAGGCATGTACATAAAGGACGATGTGATTATTGGCATATATATTTTAAAGCCTGAGTCACTGGTAGGAATGCTTTTTTTTTTTGAAAAAATTTCAATAACATCATTTGATCAAGTGTCCAAGATTATGACAATATCTTGTAACATTACAACTTTATATCAGACGTAATGTGCATTTTTTTCCCTGAAATATTAGGAGGATGACTTCTTACTACACGTAATTAACCAAATGAGCTCTGGGTACAAGGCAAAAAAATAAAAAAGGAAAAGAAATTACTTACAAAATGCAGTATAATTATTTGTATCATGTATTTAAATTCTATACCCACTGACAACTTTCAGGTCAACAGTGAAGATTATTGCTTCCTTAATCTGTGTTCTATTCCAGTGGTTCAAAAACTTGTATGACCCTGAGAATCAGCCAAGGTGCTTTTAAAAAACAGATGTGTGGACCTGGTCCCAGTTGTATTTTATGCAGCCCATGAGGCAGTTCTGAATGTATCAGAATCTGAATGCATGGGAATCAATGCTGCAAAGTAAATGCCATTAGGACAACTGCCCAGAAAGCCAATATTGGATGATTTTGTACAATAGTGGGGTAGCATAACTTTTTGAATCCTAAATCTAGGGTTCACAGACTCAAATGTTGTTGATGTTCTATCCAAATGTAAACAAATTTCATCTTTTACAAAGTCAAAGATTCCCAGCAGGATTCAATAGACTAAAATGCCAAATTCTATTGAGCAACTCAGCCTTCAGCACAGTCAGGTCTGAGGATGATGGTCTGTGTCTAACATAGCTACTAAGATGCTGAACAAAATCTAAGACATGTGAATCTCTATCTATCTATCTATCTATCTATCTATCTATCTATCTATCTATCATCTATCTATCTATCTATCTGCCTGGCTGCCTGCCTGCCTGCCTGCCTGCCACTGCTATTTGGGTACTTTGGATAGCTGAGGGGATACAGCACAGGACTGGGGGGTTACAGCAGTAACTAGGAAATGCAGGCTCTAATCCCAGCTCTGCCTTTATTTAGCTCTGCCCCTCTGGGGCAGGTCACTGAATCACTCTGGATTCAAGTTCCTTCTTTGTAAAAAAAAATAAAAATAAAAAAAAATTCTTTCTTTGTGAAATGAGGGGCAGAGCTAAATGATTCTAAAGACCATTACAGAGGTAAGACTCTCTGTCTAGAATCCATGGAAGCAATTTAGAGGATCCTTCCTATTTTACTTGGATATTTATATAACAATCTGCTCATCTCCAAACTGTGCAATTTAAGCCATTGAGTTGTACAGATATCAAGATGCTTAAATGACTTAAAGAAGAAGGTACAGTATTGTGGGGGAAAACTGTGTTTTATGCTTTTAGTATTCTCATGATAAAAAAAATAAGCTACTAGTTACCAATTCATTTAAATTTGAATTTAGCACAAATACTATATAAATAACAGACATTTACTTAAGCAGGAAGTTATAGAGAAGCCACTTCCCACACACACTCTATACTAATAATGCCTATCCTGGGATATGAAAGGTTTAGCAATGTGCATTAATTTCCCTAATCACTTAGTGATCTATGTCAGTATTATTATCCCCATTTTGCAAATAAATAAACTCAAAAATTTTAAGTGAGTTTCCCAAATAGGAGTCAGAACAACTCTATCAAGAGCTCACAACTTTCTGTTCTCAGCCCTTTCTTCTAGATTCCTCAAAGCTTCATGGCCTCAGAAGCAGGGGTGAAAATGCCACTGTTGTAAATCTAGTGCACAGGGAAGAGTAGTCATCTAAAATGTGGGATCAACATCTGTGACTTCCAGAAATAATACTATTAACATTTTGTTGCCTTTTCCCTTTAACAGTTAATCCTGCAGGAGCTCTTTATGTTTTGCAGATAGTAACCCTTTATTATAATCACTGGAAATATTTTTCTGATGAGTGCATGTGTGTGTCTGGTCCTTCAAACTTATATATGGTTTTACGGGTTGCTTTTCTGGTGTAGAAGAATCCTAATTTTTCTATAGTCAAATTTATCATTTTTTCCCCTTATGATGTATTATTTTTCAAACATAGTTTGAAAGGCTTCTCCCAGCCCACCATTATAAAATTCTTTAACCATAATATCACCTTGTATTATTATGGTTTTTAACATTTTTTTTACATCTGAATCTTTTAACTCTTTGGAACTTATATTGGTATGAGAAACAAATGAAGATCCACTTCCACCCAAGACAGATAATTTACCTTTATCATTTTATCATTTTTTTTCTCTCTGACTTGCCATGTTATCTTTAATATGCCAAACATCAATAGTTCCATTTTATATCTCTATGTAAGAAAGCTAAGCAAGTGTATAAGTCCTTGGTACACATAAAACATTTGCTTGAACTTCTTAATCCATGCTGTGTGAAGTGGGTAGGAAACACCATTGTACCTACAGCATTTTAAAAAGTAAAAAACAAAAAACCAAAAAATGGAAGCAATTTTGTGTTCCTAGATCTATGTCTGCCTCCAATGGTTGGAGGTAGGTGTAGAGGGTAGGGAAATGCTTGGATTTCATGAAGCCATAGATTGGAGATCTGTGTTTTAGTGGGTTCCCTCATGAAGACCTCAGTTCTACTGAATGAGAGAAAAGAGAAGTTAAAGAGGCCTTGGGTAAATTTGGCCAGGATTAGGTAGACATTTATTAAAGTAAACAAGCAGTCTGGCCTCATGCTATGCTCTCAACTACACTTTCCATATTCCACTCTGCTTGCCACATGCTGGCCCCAGCTGACCATTTCTGCCCTTCTGCTCAGTCTAGTTCCTCAGTTCTTTCTCTTTACCTGATCAATCAAAACATTTTCATGTTCCTTACATGGATCTTCATGAGGAATTCTCCAAATCCCTAGTTGAAGTTAAATCTTCTTTTATTTTATATGAATGTATATAAAAAACAGTAATAAAATGTTACCTTACAATGCCAAATTTTGTATACTTGTCTGTCTCCCCAGTGGGCTATGCACTTTGAGGTTGGAGTACATTTTTTGATCGTCATATCACAGTAAATGTCTAAAAACGTGATGAATATAAGTTCTATTGAACAGTTCATTCTGTAAGAAAGAATTAGAAGATTTTTTTTCCCTTAGGAATTTATCATGACACAGATGACTTTTCTTGGGCATCAATGCACAGTATGTAATGAAAATAGAAAAGAGGAAAAAATGATGATTTCAATCTCAGTACAGTTACCTCAAGTTCTTAATAATTATCCATCAAAAGGAAAATTGTCAGAATAACAAAACTGTGATAGTTAAAAGGGATTGGGGTTTTATAGAGCATGTGTAAAAGCTGACAAATGAGGGGACTTTCCAAGCTGCTGCAGAACAAAATCAATTATATCATTTCAATGCCAGCTACCATAAAAGATGGCCAACACAGAACACGCTCAGTAGTTAACTTTCAGAGGTCGAATCCTTCCCAAGTGATTTCTCTCCCCTCCTGCTCTGGATAGGTGAGAATTAGCATTCATAGAAGCTATTGAAAACCACTTAATTAATTCACCAAAGCAACGTTCTCTTTATTCTAAGGCTAAGTTCCAAAGCAAGATACAAGATGATATCCATCTTAGGGTCACTAGCTAGACTGAAAAA